TACCGATTGTATGGGGGTGATGACAAGAAACTGTTAATCTAAATTCCATGGCGTTGCTATAAAGGAAGCTATTAACACTGTTTTAGTGAGGATACACTACTATTATATATTTCAAAGAATCTGGTTAGTTCTGTAAAGTAAAGGTATGTTCCGAATAATAGGGTTGCGATCATAAAGCTGATGCGGTTGCTATCGAATGTCACTTTCTTACTTGTTGTGGTTTGTTGGTGTGTATTGAGAAAAATTCATGATATCTGATCAAAAACATCTTAGGTGTGAAAAACAGGTGCGGCCGAAAACAGGATTGAGTGTGAGACTTAAAGGAATGCAATCAAAATTGGCGGCCAAACTGGTAGCTATACTTATAGCATTGATAAGAATTTTACAGAAAATATTCATTCATTAGTTAGCTAGGTCTCATACTTTGTTTTACCCACTATCATGCCCCAAGTTGAGCAATTGTATTCCATCTTAATAATAATGATCTTATTTGTTACAAAATTAGCAAACATTTTGATCAAGACTAGATAAGGTCAACTCGCCATCTGTTAAGTTTGGTCCTGCTAGCTACAAAACTGTCAGAGAACTTCACGGACAAACAAACAAGCTCACACACAACATCAATTAATATATATACGTGTGTGATATTTTATCATTGTTATAGGACGCCAAATAGTTCGATTGTCTAGAAACGGTATGAAGCAAACGGACATTGCCAAAACAGTAGGGTACGCTCAGTGTACTGTATCCACAATCCTGGAACGTCATCAAACTACAGGAAACGTTGTTCCAGGAAAATCTATTGGGAGATGCCGAAAAACTACTGCCAAAGATGATTTAAACCACGTCATTCTTTACTGGTTCAGTAAGGATTTCAGTAAGAAGAGCATATAGTAACGTTTCAACTATACTTGACATATTGCATTCTGCTACTGACGACGACTTTCACTCATTACCAAAGCTTATGGTGTTGGCAACATAAGAAGTAGTAGTTGAGACACCTTTGAAACCCGAATTAGAATGGGCCAGTAAAGCATGGTGTGACTTAAGTTATTTGATAACAAACTTACTTGTTTCTCCACTGATCATAAAATTGTACTTGCCCAATAGAAACTCTATTTCTGACAAAAAAAAATCCCAAGAGACTTTAAATAGGTTTATTTAGGTTAAAAAAGTACCGATGTATTATAGATAGGATATACAGGAAAGAACACAATGTATTTTAAACACACTATGATACGGAAACATGTTAGACATGAAAAATATGTATGCTTTAAGAAATAACGTTAAAATTATTCGCACTGTTTCATTTTGGCAAACTCACAGTCTGAGGAACAAAATGGTTTTGTGCATCTACTGTATTTGACGTTGCTGAACATTAAATTTCTATAATTTTCTTAGGATAATAAGTTTATTGTTCCTACATATATGTTGGGAAACATAATTTTAAAGGAAGAATGTGCATCTTCATCAATAGGAAGATGTTACTACCGTGAATAACCGATAAGTGCTACAGAAGTTGTGGATTTTTCTGCTTTTCTTTGAGTAGCATCAATACATATCATTACTGTAAGTAGCACCTTGTGTCTTAGATTATTATAATTCTCAATGTATGTTGGAGAATAATGAGAGTTTTAAGTTAAATGCATTAGTATTGCAGACAGTTTAATTTTTACTCTCGTTCCCGCAGAGGGGCCAAAGTATTGCAATCGGGTCCGTGTATGTGTGTGTGTGTGTCTGTCTGTCTGTCTGTCTGTGTTACCGTGCGCGTATCTCAAAAACTATTATACCAATGTGCACGAAAAATGTACAAAAGGTGGAAAATCAATATAGAACAGTCCTCCTCAAATTTGGTCCTGATCCAAATCCGGATCCGGATTCTGGATCACTTTGAAACAATTTTTATACTGGGGAAATAGCGCATTTTCGTGGTTTTGGATTAATAACTGTGTAAAGTGTGATCGGAGTTGTACCAAATTCCATGGCCACATTAAGGTTGAGACTCCACATCACACCAAAAAATATCCGGATCGTTGATTATTCTGGATCTGAGAAGGATTTTCTGAGTTTTCGAAGGTGAAATTTGACGTTATCCAATATAAACGCATGCAATCTCGTAAAGAAGTGGCGGGGCGAGGGTATGTAATCTCTCTGATTGCTCTTGTTAATATCTTTTTTTTATAAAAACTATAAAACTTTATAGAGTTTTAAGAAAATTAAACTACCAAATGTACACGTGTGTGCGGTGTTATAAGGTAATTCCAAGGTGAGTTCTTTTGAGAAAGTCAAAAAGAATTTGCTTCATTAAAATATAAAAGAGTAAAATAAATATAGCCTTCAAAAATAACGTTAGATAATTTCAATCAATCAAAAGGTTAAGGACAATGAAGTTATTAAGTGCTAAATCCTATTTGAGTATTTCTAGTAGGTGTTCATTTTGCTTAGAAATACGTTTTTCTAAACCATGTTCAAGCTATGTCTCTGCAATGAACTTGGCTCTGCCAACGGTGATCATAGCGTTTTAAGTTACTGATTTGCAATCCATAGCAACTTCTATTTGTTGTTGTTGTTGTGTTATAGTTGACAGAGTGAGAAGCTTCCGACACGATTCGATAGAGTAGAGCCGGGTGTGGTCAGTCGTTAGTGTGCCCGAATTGTAAATGTGAGATTTCATAGTTCGCATTCCGTTGCCGCCAAAACGTTCTCCGCATTTTGGAGCGTTGGTACACTATAAGATTTGTAGTCAAATCCATCTATTCAGTCAAATAAGAGTGGTAGCCCAAGAGTGTGTGTTAGGTGCTGTTGACTAACTGCCTTCCCTTAGCCTCGCATTTCAAAATTAGGGACAAATATAAACAGATAGCTCTTTGTGTAGCTTTGCGCAAAAATTCCAAAACAAACATATTTTTGGGACAATATTTGAAAGATTTCAAGTTAAAATTAAGCATTGTTTTAAAGTAAAACGAGACTTGAGTAAGAAAAGTCTTTTGAATCCAGTTAATTTAGATTAGTTACACAAATCCTTGTTAACGTAATGTGAAAAAGTAATTATTTAGAAAATAGACTGAAAGAATGGTTCACTGATAACGTTGCAGCTTTGTTGAGAAACTAGCTGGAGAACACGTCCCCTGGACATAAGTTAATTAAATTCATGATTAATGAAAGGTTATCTTAGGATATGAAAAGTTGCTCCCCTTATATGTAATAGTAAAAAAACGCCCATAAAAACTGCAAAATACAAAATGTGAAACCGCAACTTTGCAGGTATCTTCGCATGAACACAACAAACCTTCATGCCACATCTGGTGAAGATCCATCAACAGGGGGCGAAGTAGTGGTAAAAAACTAAAATAACGCCCATAAAAACCGCAAAACGCAAAATGCAAAACTGAAAATTTGTATGTATCTCCCCACAGACCCAGTGTACCTCCATACCAAATTTAGTGAAGATCCATACATAGGCGGTGAGGTAGTGATAAAAAAACGCCAATAAAACCGCAAAATGCAAAACTGAATGAACATTAGAAAAGTTTATTTAATTAGCTATACTCATTATTAGGTAGCTTGATCTGATCGGAAGTTAATATTAATTACATGAACCCAACAAACCTTCATGCCAAATTTGGTGAAGATCTATCAACAGGGGGCGAAATAGAGATAAAAACCGCAAAGCGCAAAATTTAAAACTGACAATTTGTATGTATCTCCCCATTGACCCAATGAACCTTCATACCAAATTTAGTGAAGATCCATATATAGGGGGCGAGGGAATGGTAAAAAACGCAAAAACGCCCAGAAAAACTGCAAAACGCAAAATGCAAAACTGAAAATGGTCGTAATGTACCTCCACACCGTGCGAATAGTTACATGGACAAACAACAGATAGAACTTTTATATATATATACTGTTGTTCCTAACGATATTTTATAGTTTGTAAATATTTCTCATAGAAGGTTATGTTGTCTAACGAGGGTAACTTCTTTTACGATTTATTTTCTATTTCAGAGATCTTTAAACTTCTTTGAAGTTCAAAAATAGGTTAGGATCGTAAATCGACAAGTCACTAAAAATAAGAAATTTCTAAATGGATCTTGCAATATAAGTGTACAAATTAATGGGATTAGCTTTAACAACACAAGGATTAGATGTCAGATTCAGTCATTTACATAAGGAGAGGGAAAGAAGAGAGAATTCCTGTCATGCATTCATTTAGTCTGTGCAAATACTCTGGTTGTTCTTTTTTGAGAGGGTTTGAAGTAATTTCAAACATTTATATGTTCTTAACTAGGTATGATGTTTTTCTATTTCAATAAACATTCTGCTAACTTTAGTAAACTTAGTTGTATGCGTATCTCTATATTTTGTCACGTACAAAATCACTAAAAACGCAAACAAACAAATTAAAACTAATCTCCGCTATTTTTTAAATAAACAATGAATACTTCTTTTGGTATAGCGAGTCTAGATGAACAATAATGTTACTGTATAGCTATTTATAACTTATGTTTCCAAAATGTTAGCAAAATTGTATTCTATTTCTAACGTCTACGTCCAGTGCTTGAGACGTGGATTATTTTCAAATAGGCCTTCATTACTAGAGATGATTCCTGAGAAAACATCAAATTTTTAAGTGGCGGAATTTTACAAATGATGTAAAAAAGTGAAAATAAGAACTGTGAGTTCTAAAGTGTTTGATGAAACTGAAACGTTTCCAGAAGTCAGTTAAATATGCTTCCACTTTTTTTTCAACACTAAAATCTAAGGACGACCTCTTACTGTGTAGGACGCAATAAGAAACTAGATCAACTATTAATCTGCTTCAGAAAGATATATTGTTCTATGCATACGACATTAATGATTGTGTGTTTGGTAAAATGTTCGGAAAAATTAAACAAGAGATATCTGCGCGTGATCGTCCCTAAGTTTGAATGATTTGATTTGTTTTAAGTAGTTTTAGTAGTCAATAAAATTCTAAATTAATGTTCTCTTGCCTTTTACAGCTTTACAAAAGACTTAACTTTGGATTACATTTCGTTTCGAAACAGCACAGCACGGTTAGGCTGTAGAAGTGCCATGATATTTAGCAAAAATACATGAAAATTTGAAGTAACCTAAGCGTACATGACTTCTGGAATGAAATATGTGAAACGCTACAGAGTGTCTGGACCCTCAAGAGAATGGTAAGATTTTTTTATTACCTAATAGATATTTCAAGTACGTATTTAGCTACTCCTATATAACATTGTGGTATATCTTGCGTATGGTAATGCGCAGTTTTACAAAACATCGATCAAATAGTTTCCAATACATAAACTACTGGTACTAGATACACATGACAGATTGCACAAAGTAAAATAAAAAAAGAAACCTATCTTGATGTGGAAAATCCTCAGGAAGTGTATTATGGCTAAAATTCCGGTGTAATGGACCGGTATAATTTAATGCCAAAAACAGGGGGTGGGCAAGGGGCTGGAATTGGTCGTAACTATAGGAATCGACCTAGTGTACGTGTAGGCACGGCGAAAGTAAGAAACCGAAAACCCTTTAGCTTCAGAAGTTGTGTTCTCTATCAACAACATCAAAATTGGTCAAGAACATGATAAAATGAATTAGTCCTATGAACTTGTAAGTTTTTGTGATAATGAGATTCACATTCTAAAAGAAAAAACTAAAACTACAGTTGAATTCTTACTGATACTCAATCATTTAATGCCATCGAAGACGATGATCAAGCGGATTTTCTAACTAAATACATGATAGCAGTATTCTAAGGACTCCCATGTGAATTAATTTAATGTTCTTATTGTGTTGTTTTTATGTAATCAACATAAGTATCAGATGTTCTTTAAAATAAAAAACCCTCTGGTCTGAATGTATTTGCGTCAAATTATTATCAGCATCCAAGTAGTGAAAAAAATGTTGTGTAACTCATAAGGTTATCATATCTGTCATTCTAATTGGCGGCTAAATAAGAGCAGAAATTACTCTCTCGTTTAGAATCTAGTTAACATAAAAACGTTTTAGTTATACATTTCATGAAGTTAGCTGTTCTGTAATCGTAGTGAAGATCATAATTAGTACTAAATGGTCCTGTTACATATTTCATGCTCTTAGATGTTACTTCATGTAAACCTTGTCAAGATTCTAATTATTACTCCAATACAAAACGTTTTTTTCATGTAAACCTCATCAAGGTTCTAATTCGTGCTAAATGGACCTGTTACATACTTTGTGATATATTACTTTTTGTAAATCTTGTCAATATTCTAATTAGTTCTGATTCTGCTACATTTTTCATGATCTTAGATGTTACAGCATGTAAACTTTGTCAAAATTCTTGTTAGTACTAAGTGGCTCTAATTACACATGTTACGTTGTCAGAAGATACTTAAAACAAGGAAATCTAATTAATAGAAAAAGTTCTGGTTACAAGCGTTAGATGTTAGATGTCACTGTAATCATCGTTTACAGTTAGTGCAACAAAGTCCAGGTTATGTATTTCATGATATTACGTAAACCTCTATTAAAGTCAAGAAAGCACAAAACAATATAACATATCTGCATTCATGACGTTCTTTAAGTTCCCATTGCCGTATAGTCGTATATAACAATTATCTAACATTAATTAACACTAAGTTTCAATAATTATTATTATATTTTATGAATAAGACTCTGACTAAAAACCGATTCGAGTAAATAATATTATTCTACAAACTGTACATCTAGATCGAAAACGTTTCACTTTTTTTGTAAGAAAGAATTTGGGTATTTTAGACATCAACAAAGTTTTTCTTTCTGTTTTCTTGGACAGTAACCAGTTTCTGTTTCTTGATGTAAATAAATATATATTTTTTCTAATTAGATAGATCATGTGTTTAAAGTGTTATAGAGAACATAAATTTATCTTATTTGTTAATATACGTAACACAATATTCATGTTTTAGGTAATGTAGACAGCATGTCTTCTCTGGGATTGTACACACCTGTGTTTGTTCCTTAGATTCTGAAAACTGTTTGTCTTTTTTTTCATCGTATGTTACAACATGTCTGTGTTTTAAGTCTGTCTTTTAGCTACAACAATATGTTTGTTATTTAGGTGTTATAGGTATTTTGTCTTTTTTAGCAGTGTATATTTATGTTTAAGATGTTGCAGATAGCTTACCTTTTCTATCACTGTATACAAAAATACATTAGTATTTTCACTTGCTGCAAATAGTTTGTCTTTTCGACCATTGTATAACAACATTTTTATGTTTTCTGATACTTTAGATATCGATTACATTGTGTGTGATTTTGTTGTTGTCGAAAATAGCGTTAAACTACGTTTCTACTAACACAAAAGGTTATATTAAAACGATTTTGACTAAGCACATGAGCAAATCACGCGACAACCACAGTCAACATAAAGTCGTGGTGGAATGACATGTAGTAGAACTATATTTTGAAGTTGTTTGACATTACTTAAGTAGTGTGACGCCATCTAAAATTTATAACTTTTGGGAAGAGCATGCAACAGTCATTTCTAACACAAAATATTCATATATGCAGATCGCGGATTTAACTATTCCAAGACACGGACATTCCCTGTTCTTAATGGCATTAGAAAACAAAGAAATATGAATCAACTTGGGGTAAAAGGACCATACAGAAAGAGACCTTCAACAAGTCCCATCCCGGCCATGGTAAGTAAAGTGCAGCATTTGTAACAGGTGAGAATCCACGAACATAAAGGTCAATGGCAAAAGCCGTTGATATACTACGAGCAAAAAATGCGAGACATAATCAAGAAGAATCTTCGTCCAAAAGGTATTGGTTCACCAAAATAAGGCTTTCAGTCATACCTCACGCTCAACAGTCGCATACCTCAAGCAGCTGGGTATTCATGCCATTAAATACAAAGACATACTGGTCAACTCGTTGGACGCAACGTCTATAGATTTCTCTGTGATCGGACTGTTGAAATGGAAGCTGGGAAATCAACGTCTTCGTACACCAGATATATTTATGTTTAATGTGCTGCAGATAGCTTACCTTTTCTATTACTGTATACAAAACTACATCTGTATTTTCACTTGCTGCAAACAAGCAGGGAGAAAGGATGTGCTTTGGATATGGCAGCCTTACTAGTGAGCCTTATACAATGGAAACTACACTGCAGGACTATTCCCAGGACGGACAGATCGTCAGACAGAATACGAGTGGACGTGGCGACATGGAGTGTAATGACATGGTGATGCTCCAAAATATTTTTAATATAACATGCTCAGTCTCTTTAGTTTAAACTACAAACGTTTAGCTTTTATTTTTTGAGAGTAATTTTTTGAGTAATGTAATCCCCATCACGTTAAAAACAAACAAAACTCTACTAAATTTCTTTTCTTTTTATTACATTACTTGTAGTACGTGTTTGTATTATAGAAACAAGATAATATTCACCTAGAGCCATGAATAGATCTAAACAAAACGTTATTCAAGGAGGCAACTCAGGATTACTGACGAAGTAAACATGAATAGAAGTACAACTTATAGCACGACTCTGTTGTGAATGGACTAATGCAAAATGAACTTTCCATCATTTGGACAGTATACCACCATCTAAATATATCTAGCTTCGACAACGACATACAGCCGTAAGCTGCTAAGATAAGCTATAAAAAGACATAAAAAAACTAAGTTGGAGAAACAGTCTGTTCGACTTTTAGCCAACAGATTAACCAGGGTCTCTAGAGAGAGTAAGACTATTGAGGCTACGACCTCCCCAGGGCAAGGTTGCAATCAGTTCTTGGAACACTGGAGTATCTATAAAGCGAGGGCTTGTAGTTGTTACAAGAGTTCCTGCGACGTTAAGATAGCAAGGATTAACTTGACTAGGCATGACCTTTTCTTATGATTTTTCCTTCAACACACTTTCTCATCTAGTAGCAGCTGTATTATCTTATTCAACTCTAGCTATTCCAGAACTTTTTTTTTGTTGTTGTTTAAATCTTAAATTGTTTGAAGTGAAACAGACATTTTGCGTGATATAAATTTCGGAGCAAATGAAATATCTAACGTAAATTAAAAGACAAATACATAGATGAATTTGATAATTCATCAAAGCATAAATCAAAATATTAGAACCACAAATATGAGTTTGTATACTATACGTTACAGATACGTATGAAGTAGAAATGAAGAATAATGATTTTCAGAAATTGCAAACAGTATAATCTATTGCCTCATTCATATGATACAATTTAACATACCGGTATATAAAGTGGGTGTTTAACTGACAACTCAGATGACATAAAATTTTTATATAATTATACGTTATACTTTTAGAACATTATAAACAATAAATCGTAACTTTCACTTAGAAACATATTTTTACATTTAGTCTATGTTAATTATATAGTTTCATTGTTTATTCAAAACAACTGTATTACCTTCTGCATGTTCTCGGGAAGAAGAATAGGCAATTATTCAAAAGCGCTCGTGTTTTGGGTCTTATTTTAAGTTTATTACACTTTATACGTGATCCTTTGTGCTAACTCTTTTATCAAGACTTTCTGCATGTAATATTAATTCTAGGTTAACCTAAGTAAGGCTATTGTTATTAACAGTGATGTTAAAGTGGTTGATCTGCTCGAATTCAACATTTGTTTAATATAATAAGGATATTATTGGGTCTTCATCATGACTTGTCTGTTGAAACATCTAACGTAATTCTACGACATGAAACCTTAGATACATGAAAACGCAGGCTGATGTAGCATGGTTTTCATTTCTTCGTTTCGACAACAAAAAACATTGTTCTAACTTTATCCAAAATACACTGTATTTTCTCTTATCAAGGAATATAATGTTTCACAAACCAGAGAAGCAGCTCAGCGGCTTAGTCTACGCTTTGATGTAGAAACCTGGTATGATTCAACAATGTGGCACTGTTGATTACTCTCATATTGCAGAAATGTATTAACTTTTACACATTAATTCGATCGCTGCTTATTCATAATGTAAACACTGTTCACAAATCCTTTCTCAAAGTGTGACAAAAGATAACAATGAATCATATTAAGTATTTGATCAAGCTTTGTATAAAAAGTGGAGTTTGAAAACGTACATTGAAAGACTTTTATGGTTTCTTTCATTGCAAGATATAATATAGTTTGATTTCAGATCAATTCATTTCT